CGCCCCCCCCGCTTCCCCCCCCCCCTGCGCATATAGCCCCCGCGAGTTTGACTCCCTGCACACCCTGCGTGTAGATCAGGGTTTTCGCCCCGCTGGCACACACAGACGTCACTGTACAACCGAAGGTTAGAGGTGTTACAAGAGAGTAACAAACACAAAAAAGGAGGGGAGATAAGGACGATAGATGTTTGATAGGAAAGGAGAAGGGGAGATAAGGACGATAGATGTTTGATAGGAAAGAAGGAGGGGAGATAAGGACGATAGATGTTTGATAGGAAAGGAGAAGGGGAGATAAGGACGATAGATGTTTGATAGGAAAGAAGGAGGGGAGATAAGGACGATAGATGTTTGATAGGAAAGAAGGAGGGGAGATAAGGACGATAGATGTTTGACAGGAAAGAAGGAGGGGAGATAAGGACGATAGATGTTTGACAGGAAAGAAGGAGGGGAGATAAGGACGATAGATGTTTGACAGGAAAGAAGGAGGGGAGATAAGGACGATAGATGTTTGACAGGAAAGAAGGAGGGGAGATAAGGACGATAGATGTTTGACAGGAAAGAAGGAGGGGAGATAAGGACGATAGATGTTTGATAGGAAAGGAGAAGGGGAGATAAGGACGATAGATGTTTGATAGGAAAGGAGAAGTAAACAACACCAGAGCACCCGCCAACCACCCACATACAGAAATTTGAAACCTGGATATCGCATTCGAAGCAAGAGCAGACGCTGAATATTCTTATCACTTGAGTAAGGCGTCTCAGAAACACCTAGCCCCACATTAAAATTTGTCGGAAGCCCATTTTTGGCTAAATTGCCGAAAACAGCGAAAGTGGGGCTTTCAAATAACATTCCATCATATCAAATTGTTTTCCACCAAACCAATCCTGATAGCAATTTGGCCATATTCGCAATTCCCGATACGTCAATATCAAAAGTGAGGTAGCGTGGAGAAATCAGGCGCTCGTCAAAATAATGAATAAGAAGAAACTTGCATTTTTTCACCGTCACCGGTATGGCAATTTTTATCGAAATGTTGCTTTTTGGCTAAACAAGTTTTAAGTCCATTTAAGAACTCATGTCTATGTGGATTTTAGTGGAAAAAACGTTAGTTAAATCACAAAAAAATGTAAATTATAAGATTACAAACACAGACTCTCAAGCTTTGTAAATAACCAAACTTTGGCTGCCATTTTCTCGGTAATGTTACCTCTGAAACCAGGCAACCCCCACTTCCTTCAATTGCAAATATATCGACCTGCTCTCAAGAGAAATGGGAATTTCTTTCAACGACAACAAGGCAAATGAACAACTTTAAGACGGTACCAATAACTCCTCATGTCCCAAAAATGACGAGAGCCTGATTCCACCGCGCCGTGACAAAAATTGTTTCCACTTTCCACTTCGCCATAAAAATCCATTTTCTCAAAACAGGGAATTGGGAGAAATCACCATTGGCTCTCAGCTGACCATTTGTTTGACATATTTAGTGTCCAGATCCAGACAACTTAGAACGTTTCCGAGGCGGCTTGTTGAAAGAGGCGTGAAACCTGCGTACATTGACCTGTGTCAGAGACCGTTTTTTCTCCCTCTTTTTCTTTTCTTTTGGAAAGTGTTTTACGGAGCTCGCAACTGCTGCATAAGGTCATATGAGCGTACGGGCACATTAAACATTTTCAGTTGGTAGAAAAAAAAAATATTTTGAATTTTGCCCGGGTGACAGCCGAAACCTACCCTTATAAATCGATTTTGGACCACAAAGGGGTCTTTAACGTGAGCAACTTGTACAAGGTATCTCCGAGATTTTTCGCCCTTATTCGAAAAGGCTAGAAGAAGATCTTTCCTACCATAAGATCAGGGATGTGGCTGAAAGAAAGCAGTAAGAAGGAGCCAAGGTGTAGCAGTAGATATAGGCTGCTAAAAGAGTCAGGAGCCCAGAGGAGGGGGCAAAGGAGGTGAGGGGGTGGAGGCAGAAGGTGGAGACGAAAACAGAAGACAGAACACTTTTAGAGAGCAGGAAAGGAGGTGAAAGGAGAACATTTTGGAGAAGAAAATTTTCCGTCGCTTTCCGGATTCGAACCCTAGACCGTAACCTCTCGACCACGAAGGGCCCATGACTGTTGATCTGTATTATTCTGTCCCGGGGTTTTAAGCACACCGCATAATTTCGCAAATTTTATCATTTTTTGGCGCAATTTCCGATTATTTTCCTTTGTCATTCATTTTAAAAATTAACAGAATCGCATAATTTCACATTTTAACTCAGTTTGCTATTAATTTCAGAATTTTTCTTGCATAAAACGACGGGGACAGATTACTTATGTTGAACTAGAAAGGAACATACCGGAATACAGTTTTACGTCATGTCCAGGGACGTATTCAGCATCGTGTGTAGCCCCTGATGACAGAGTGGTTTATTGTAGTGGTGGGCAAAACCCTGATAACCTATTCGGATAACCGAATAATTCTCAATGAAACATGATCCGAATTCAGACTCCTACTCTCTTTCCTAATCCGTTTGTCGAAATGGGTGCACCCATTTCTTGAAGTGATTCTAACCCATTTGCCGAAGAGGCTCTAACCCATTTGCCGAAGAGGTGCACTAACTTATAATCCGGATTTTTACTAAAACGACTCATTGCAGTATTACTGGAAGGTCCGAGAAACAACGTCTGACTACATGCACTGGAAGAGCTAGAAAAAGAAAATATGTTGAGCCATCAGCAGCAGAAGTCGACGAAAAAGAAGGGGTTCAAAGTTCTACTTCTAGAGGGTTTTTACAAAACTGAAGAAATGAAAATCAATTGCAAGAGAGTAACAAACACAAAAAAGAATGAGCGGAGATAAAGACGATAGATGTTTGATAGGAAAGAAGGAGCAAACCACACCAGAGCACCCGCCAACCACCCACACACCCCACTGTGGAATCGACCTCGGGTCTCCTATATCCAATGTCACAAGTGCCAAACTGCTGCACCACTACACCACAGACACCGATTCAGTATTCTCCAACAATAAACAAGACGTATCTTCAGTTTTAGTTTTAGTAAAAGCTTTTTGTTTTTGTAAAGTGTTTTACGGCGCTCGCAACTGCATAAGGTCATATGAGCGCGCGGGACACACCTAATATTTTCAGTTGGTAGGAAATTTCGAATTTTGCACGGATGGCGGCCGAAGCCTACTCTTATCGATTTTAGACCACCAAGGGATCTTTAACGTGCGCAACTTGCACACGGGCCCTCCGAGATTTTTCGCCCTTGTCCGAGAAGGCTAGAGTCTAGGTGTAGATCTTTCCTACCAGAAGATCAGGGGTGTGGCAGAAAGATAACAGTAAGGAGGAGCCAAGGAGTAGCAGTAGAAAGGCTGCAGAAAGAGTCAGGAGCCCAGAGGAGGGGGCAAAGGAGGTGAGAGGGTGGGGGCAGAAAGTGGAAATGAAAGCAGACAACAGAACTTTGCTAGAGAGCAGGAAAGGAGGTGAAAGGAGACAATTTTAGAGAAGAAAATTTTTCGGTCGCTACCCGGATTCGAACCCGGGACCTTTGAATGAGAGGCCAACACCTTAACCTCTAGGCCACGAGAGCCCCCCAGTAAGAGCTTAACGGCACTTGCAACACAATAAGGCCATGAAGATGAGAGGTGTTATAAGAGAGTAACAAGCACAAAAAGAAAAAGGGGAGATAAAGGCGACAGACATTTGATAGGAAAGAAGGAGCAAAACACACAAGAGCGTCCACCATCTCCCCACTCTGGAATCGAACTCGGGTCTCCTATGTCCAATGGCGCAGGTGCCTAACTGCTGCACCACAGACATCGGTTCAGTATTCTCCAACAATAAACATGACATATCCGAGTACAAAAAGATGAATAGAGTTACCAACATTTCAAACCAAAAATCAGCCTCTACCCACATGGCGGGTCAAGATGGTGAGCATCGGCCAAGTAACCTCCCTGCTAACTCTTCACACACATTTAAACTCTTCTTCTTCTTCTTCTTTTTCTTTTTCTTCCTCTTCTATCCCGTGGTTGGGGCAACCGTGGGAGCACCACTGCATCTAAAAACCAACTCTTGCCATCTATTTTTGTCCTCTGCTTTCCTCAAATGGTCACCCATCATCTTCCCTGTCCACTCTGTGATGTTGTCCTCCCATCTCCTTCTCTGCCTTCCTCTCTTTCTTTTTCTCTTTCCTTGTAGTGTACAATTTCAGGTAGGATTGGTTTGGCAAGTCCTGAAGATCTTGTGACATGCCCATACCATTTTAATTTTCGTCTCTTCACTGTGGTCAGTAGATCTTCAAGCTGCCCCACTGCGTTTGTGATTCTGTTAAACTATTTAAACTACACTCAACAAATTCAAACTCAATAGCTAACAATACATGTATTGAGGGACACAACTACAGAAGATTTACATGCATCATTCTCATCATTATTCCCAAATTCAGTCTTGAAAATGAATACCATTTTTTAGCATTCGCGAGTCCACGAGGAGCAGTCCTAGAAAACAGAAAACATAAATTTGCGGATACAAAATCGTGTCTTCTGAACTAAGACCATAAACAAAATGTTTTCAAATACTGGTTGGCAGCAATGGTGGAGGTGAGCAAATTGCACACAAAAAAGTTTTACAGCAAACAGGAGTGCTGTAATCAAGCAAAACAAGCCCTCCCCACCTAAAAAAAAACCCTACAAAACCTAGAAAGTTGAGAAAAAGATCAGTAAGTTTTAGTAAGAGTTTTACGGCACTTGCAACACAATAAGGTCATATAAATGCCGAAGATTAGAGGTGTTACAAAGTTACAAACACAAAAAAGAAAGACTAGAGGAGAGATCAGGACGATAGATGTTTAGATAGGAAAGAAGAAGCAAACCACATCAGAGCACCCGTCGGCCACCCTCCTAGAAAATTAAGAAAAAGATCAGAGAACAAGGCGAAAACATAGCACGAAGAAGTACACCATTCACATTCATACTTTCACATTTTTTTAAAAACCCCAAGCCGAGCAGATGATCGTTTTCCAGCATCTTTAATAATGACTTCAATGGGCCTCATTCACTGGTTGGACATCATTGGAGAGACATCTGAGCACTGCCACCATCATGTGGAACGTAGAAGCTCAACACATGCACACACTCTCACAATACGACAACAACAGTGGAACGTAGAAGCTCAACACACGCACACACTCCCACAACACGACGACAACAGTGGAACGTAGAACAGTTTTCATGACATATAAAATTGCAGATGAAAAGTAATTAATGCAAAAACAAAAATATCAGTGGATAAATCCATCAGTCTTGTCTGGTCTTGAGGTACTTTGTTGTCACCTTGTCTTTTTCTCTGGAAAATAAAGCAGAAAAAAAAGTAAATAATAATAATAATGTGTCACGATGCGGTAGAATCAGGCGCTTGTCAGATTTGGGGCATATGAAGTTATTGGTATCATTTTAAAGCTTGTACATTTGCCTTGTTTTTGATGGATAAGTATCAATTTATCTTGGATAAAAGTCAAGATATTGGCGATTGAACAAGATGGGGGTCGCCTGGTTTCAGAGGTCAAATTAGCAAGAAAATGGCCACCTAAGTTGCGTTATTTCCAAAGCTTGAGAGTCCGTGGAACCTGAAAATGTCCATCTATTATGCCTTTAACCAGCGTTTTTCAGTAAAATCCACACATAAATGTGTTCTTTAATAGGCATGAAAGGTGTTGAGCCAAAAAATAGAAATTCGATAAAAATTCCGAAACTTGCGGAAAAATGCCAGTCTCTTTACTTTGATTATTTTGACGAGCGCCTGATTTCACCACGCTGCCTCACAAATAACAAATAGCATTTATGTAGCGAATGTCCCCACTCGAAAACAAGCTCTATGAGCTTTACACTATATTATTACCCCTGCAGACCATAAAACACTCAGAAACATTCTCAGCTTCCCGGGAAGCATGCAGTGCAAGCAGCTGATTAAGCACTCAAACACTAACAAACTGAGAAGATCTTTCACTGTTTATAGGCAGTCAATAGTAATATAATCCAATAAAGCAAGCAGATTTTTCATCAATGTCGATATTCTAGTTTAATTTTAGTAGAGGTTTTACGGCGCTTGCAACTGAATAAGGTCATATGAGCGCCAGAAGATTAGAGGTGTTTCAAGAGAGTAACAAACATAAAAAAGAAGAAGGGGAGATAAGGACGATACATGTTTGATAGGAAAAAAGGAGCAAACCACACCAGAGCACCCGTCAACCACCCGCCTGATGATATTCTTTTTAGTTAGAGACAACACACATTAATCATCTATGAACTGCAGTTTTACAAAACTGACGGTTGAAATAGCCTAGCACCCTTTAAAGCAAAATCTATTCGTTATCTACGAATATCACTGTGTACGGATTTCAATGGGAGATAAACAAAGTCGGATAATCGGGTCAAAATTTTACATGAATTATGCCCCCATGCCACGCTTACATGCTTTGGGTTCAGTTGCTTATATTATTTGCTGATTTGGGCGTTTGACATTCATGTTTTTTTAATCCACCTCTGCTGGGATCAGCCATTTCATTTATATTTGACTGAAAAGCCTTCATGTTTCTTTCGCTCAGCCATGGTCCACCATACTCATACTCTTACAACCTCACCCAGAACTAACTTTGCAGAACACAGAAAAATGATACGTAGTGACTCAGTAGTCTATTTTAGTTTTAGTTAGTCTTACGGCACTTACAACACAATTAGATTATATGAGTGCTGAAGATTAGAGGCATTCCATGAGAGTAATACACATTAAAAAAAAGGAGGGGGGAGACAAAGAGGTCTACTACTTAAATCTGTACTTCCAGAATTTCAAGTCGATACCATGTCGAATACCTGCGCAACCTAAAAAATACTCGATACCGAAAATCCCTGTGCAATTTTCCAACAGGTTTTGGAAAATTCCTTTGAACTTTTTGACAAAAGGATTAAAAACCTGCGCAATTTTCTGCTGCCCGGCTATAACACTGGATTGCCTTCACGAAACCACAGATTCCATACACACAACTGAAAATGTACAAACTTAACTAGATCTACCACTTATATCACCCCGTCCCCTCCAAAATCTCCTTCCTAAAACAACGTTTGCTGAGAAGTAGCCTCCCTGAAAAAAATCCAAATGTGCTACGAATAAAGAACTTTCAACAAACTATAAAAAAACCCTCATACAACAAGGTCATCTGTATTTCCAATCAGCAAAAAATACAAACCCCCTGGGCGGTGCTACTGACTGAAGTCTTTAGGCCATTCCCAAAGGGGGGACATTTGCCATGTTCTTATGTACAGTAAAACTGTAATTGTAAATGGGCTGATTCATCAATGTCATGCTCATAACTGAGCCTGAACAGCAACACAGAACTGCTGCTTTTTCTTTCCTAATCCTTACTATTATCATTTTTCCTCTACTTCTTTTGTATGTTTGTCACACTCTTGTGACCTGCTATTTGCCGGGTGCCTTGATAGTCAAAGCAGACTTTGTGCTTTTGAAGCTAGAGAGGTGAGCAGAGTAAGTCTGATTCCCTGTAAGGACTTCTCCGTTGACATCCACCCTTTGGCGCTCATACGACCTTATGCAGTTGTGAGCGCTGTAAAACCTCTACTAAAACTAAACTAAAAAAACACAAAACAGTCCCTTTCCCTCCGGAGCCCCAAGCACTTACATGACGTGCACCACAGCACCCCAACCAGAGACAGCGTCACGGTCAAAGGCATTCATCAGGGCCTGGGAGATTGTCTCAAACAAATCATCAGGTTCCTGGGGGGGACAAACAGAAAAACCATCACATGTCGTTGTTGTTGTCATAGTTGTTGTCGTTGTTGTTGTTGTTGTTGTTGTTGTTATCGATCCAGCAACAGCTGGGCTCTCGCCCTACTGTCCAATGCCATGTAGTGATAAGTGCAGGTCTGCTGCAGTTGCTGTAACGTTTCATAGAGTGTGTTGTCAATATCAGGTCTTGGAGGGAGAAGGGAAACCATCACATAATCATTCAAGTTGAACAACATCAAAGAAAACTTTCATACACACAGTGAAATTGGCGAGACGTGCAAATCTTGTCCATAAGTGCAATCTTGCAATGTATGTGGATTAAATGCAAGAAAAACATATACGAGAGAAAAGTGGAGACCTGTTTGCTATACCACGCATGTGTTTCGCTATGACTATGTGCGTGTTAGACTGAATTAGTTTTAGTTTTTGTAAGAGTTCTACGGCACTTACAACACAATAAGGTCATATAAGTGCTGAAGATTAGAGGTGTTACAAGGGAGTAACAAACACAAAATAGAAGGAGGGAGAAAAGGACGATAGGTTTGATAGGAAAGAAGGAGGGGAGAAAAGGACGACAGGTTTGATAGGAAAGAAGGAGGGAGAAAAGGACGACAGGTTTGATAGGAAAGAAGGAGGGAGAAAAGGACGACAGGTTTGATAGGAAAGAAGGAGGGAGAAAAGGACGACAGGTTTGATAGGAAAGAAGGAGCAAACCCCACCAGAGCAGGAACACACTCATTTGATAAGACAGCACAAAACATAACTGGAAACGTTTGTACTGACCGTTGTTTCCTATTAAATTAGAACTGATGGTGCTATTCCGAACCCTGCTCTGGTGAAAGTGAAACATAACAAGCCCCACTCGTCAAAGAAAACACAGTACAGACACATATTTTCACTGCCCCTAAAAGAAGAATATATATATCAAACATGGAAGTTCATTATTCAGGGGAAATAACCAAGAAATTTGCAGAACGTAATTGCATCAGAATGGGAAGTGTCAATACGCGACGTCAGTGATTTCTTGTCGTATCACCATCACCATTTTTAATAACAGTGAAAACAGTTCATAACAATAAGGGAACTTGAGAAAAAGTCACATATATAGATAGATTTGGCAGGCTGATACTGTGAAGCCAAAGTCTGTAAAAACTAATACTGAACTTGAGCAAACACAAAATTCTCACCAGATCTGGCTCCCAGAGCGATTCGCACATGCCGTACATCTGCTCAGAGCAAGTTCCGCTGACCACAAAGTCGTTGGTCTCCATGGGGCAGCCGATGAGATCCATAGAGGCAATGTACGGCTCAAAGGTAGCGGGGTCCAGACCGGCAATTACTGGCTCAACAAAGTACGGCCCAAATCTGAAAGAAATAAGTTATTTCTACTTAGTTTTCGTGCGAGTTTCACCGCATTAGCAACAGAATTAGTGTATATAAGTGCCGAAGAGGATTTTAGAGAGTAACATACAAGAAAGGGAGATGGGTGGGGGGGTTATATCTAAAAAATAATGCATAACTGGAGCACTTGTACAAGTACAATTTTGCCTGTTCAGTATTACCATTACATATCATCATCTTTCACCTCTTTCACCCTTGGCCACCAAAAGAGCTCTCTCTCCACCTGTCTCTGTTCTGAGCAATCTTCTCCACTTCCGGCCAACTGTGTCTCATATTGGCGCTCATATGACCATATGCAGTTGCCAGCGCCGTAAAAGCTCTACTAACACTAAAACTAAAACTGTGTCTCGTATGCCTGAGATCTTCCTCTAGATCACACTCCCAGGTGGATCTCAGTCTTCCTCTCTCTCTACCCCTGGAGTGAATCAAGGAATGGTGATGGGTCTCACTTAAATATTGAGAACTGCCTAAACGTCTCAAACAGCTTCTCCCCATCCAGCCAACCGTACCTGTCTGTGGTGGTCCCTGTTTTCACTGACACGGCTCTGGCGAATGGTGAGCTGTTGGCGCCCAACAAACCAACTCAACCCCCCCCCCATTTCCTAGAGGGGTTAAAAATTTTTAAGAACAGGATGAGAGCAGGAGTGGCCCCACAAGGTGCAGGAGGCAGAACGAAGTGTGGTAGACACTATGCTCCTCACGAACACACCCCTACTCTCCCTTGAGTGGGTGTCTAATCTGCCTAACACCTCTATTACTCTTTATCAACACACCCTCTGTGGCTGAGAAGGAACCAGCCAGTTTGACAGTGTCTGGGTGCAGGGGATGGACTGAGTATAATGCCTGACTTGCCCCTGGCCGTGGACTTCTTACTAAAGGCACAACGACCCAGGACGGGACAATCCAATGGCTATCTCACTTGGCCGAAACCAGGGCCATGCAAGAGGAGACAACTATAGGCAGTAGCCATTGGTGGCGGGGAATGGGCGGCGTTAACCCTACAGGAGTTACAAGGTCACAGGGCAGTTCGGTCTTTCCAGCCTCATGAAAACCCCTTGTACCCTCCTACCCTCAACAAGAATGGCCTCTTCTCAGGGTGGGCAGGCAGTCCACAGACACCCCAGTCCACAATGCCACGACAGAAAGAACAAAGAGCTCCTGTTAACGTTTAGTTTTAGTACAGGTTTTACGGCGCTCACAACTACATAAGGTCATATGAGCGCCAGAAGATTAGAAGTGTTACAAGAGAGTAACAAACATAAAAAAGAAGAACGGGAGATAAGGGCAATAGATGTTTAATAGGAAAGAAGGAGCAAACCACACAAGTGCACCCGCCAACCACCCACATGTGAGCTCCGACGTCGCCTCGTTACCGGATCGATAACAACAACTCTACCTCAGGAATTTCCATCTTAATTAACATTACATGTTGGATGTTTAGTTTCAGTAAGAGTTTTACGGCACTTGCAATACAATAAGGTCATATAAGTGCCAAAGATTAGAGGTGTCACAATAGAGTAACAAACACAAAAAAGAAGGAGGAGAGATAAGGATGATAGATGTTGGATAGGAAAGAAGGAGTAAACCACACACGAGCACCTGCAAACCACCCACCATGTTGGATGGCAGTTTGGAAGCAGAAGAAAAGGAAAAGAACAAAAGTGACTCGGACTTACCGACGCTCATAGAGCAGATTGGACACCATGGCCATGAAAGTCTTCGGCTTGATTTTTCTGTTTTCCCTCAGTTCATACATGTTCAAACGGAACTTCAATCGTTGTGACCTAAAAAAGAGAGAAAAGAAAAATTAATGAAAAATCAGAAGTCTCTTCAATAAAACTAATCAGAAGTCTCTTCATTAAAACCTCTTGACTAATAACAAAGTCAAACTCGTTTTGTTCAGGCTAAGTAATGAAAAATTTAACACGCTGTCATCTTATGTTCAGGTGTGAAAATAGATAATCAAGAAAAATGGGAGGGAGGATTTAATTTTTCTCTATAAGTTTTCACTGGGGAGATTTTGTCTATGAGATATGAATTCTCGTCAGAGAAAGTACTGCACAAATTGAATAAACTGAATAGAACCATGAACAAAATGTTAGGGAACATAAGCTTTCCCGACTTTGGAATTGAGGACAGCTTTGTCAGCTCATTTGGGAATACAGTCAAACCTTGTTAAACCACCAACGTTGGAACGAGTGTGCCGTTGGTGGTGAAGCACGCCTGGCAGTATAAGGAGGTTTTTAATTTGTTCTTTGTTAGGCAGCTCCAACAGCCCAGCTTTAAGTTAAAAGGAAATGATTCTGACCTGACTTGATGGGCAACATTATATAATGAGTTCCTCTCGAATTTCAAAAGTTCATTCAACAATAGATTGATCCTTGTAGTGTAGTAATGGAACCAAATTTTTAAAAAAAGAAATGTCACATCAAATCTATAGCTGAAATGAAAACAAAAACAAAACTACAAATATAAATCAAAATAAATTAACACACCTCTTTCAAATTTCTGTAATAAACATTTTCTATTTTTTTAAACTGTTTACTCTTAACTCTTTAAACCCTGAGTTTTTTTCCACCATTTCCCAGAGTTTTTTCTAGTCACCTAAACCTGGTGCACTATGTCTCATTATAACCTCAAAAATTTGCCTCCAACTTTTAAATGGCGGAAACAAATGCTTCTAAAGTCATTACTAAAAGATTTGGTTCGCGAATAGTTCCGAAAAACAAGCAAAAACTAGCTCTAAATAAAAGGAAAATGTTGTCACTAGTGTTGGACGCCCCCAGCGTCCGATGGGGAGCAGGGTTATTACAGCCGGACGTTCCCAGTGTCCGATGGGGAGCAGGGTTATTACCGCCAGACGTTCTCAGCGTCCGATGGGTTTCAAAGAGTTAATCTTACACTGTCTGTACATCTGTAGCCAAGCCAGGCAGTCCAATGTACAAATGTGGTCCCATCTCAAATACTTTGTCAAAGTCCATGCTCACTGTCTGGGCCTGGATACCGAAGCGTCGATCAGCAGCAATGGCGACACAATTCTTTCCTTTCATTGCCATGATGGCAGCCCCATTGTAGGCCAAAATACTCTGGGGAAGAAAAAAAAGGAAAATGTAATCATTTCAATTCACGGTCAAACCAATCAGAGCATCAGAACACCTGAGCAAAGAATAACAACAAAAGCAATACACCGGACTTCATTATGGTTCTACACACTAATGCTGCACTTTTGTGAGGAAATGAAACTTCATCGACCTTTGAAACACGAATGTTTGTGAATGTTAATTTTAATATTGATAAATCAATCAGCAACATCCACTTTTCAATGTATATGCACAGTAATATTCATGTTGCAGTACAATAAAATCATTTTTCCATTCATCATCATAATCAAGTGCCACTGCGGTTGTTGTTGGTATCGATCCAGCAACAGTTGGGCTTTCGCCCTTCTGTCCAATGCCATGTAGTGATAAGAGCAGGTCTGCTGCAGTTGCTGTAATGTTCCATAGAGTGTGTTGTCTATGTTAGGTCTCGGAGGGAGAAGAGTAGCTCTGATGTCATTTAGGGCTGTGCAGTGGAACAGGTGATGCTCCACAGTCTCATACGCATAGTCACACAAGGGACACATTGGGGGAAGTTCCGGGTTTATTCTGTTCAGGTGGAAGTTGAGCTGTATAATATGTTCTGTTCGTAGGTGGAAGATCGTGGTCTGTTTCTTTCTCTGAAGGCAGTTGATATTGTCATTCCTTTTTGTTGTGGTCATATGTTTGAAAACTGCTCTGCCTGTCATTTCCAGGGCCCATCTGTTCATCCAATCTTGTTTGTTGTTGCTTTTGATGATTTATTTTGCAATGTTGTATGAAGTTGGAGTGTTGGGTTGTTCCTGTCTAGATCCCCGTTTGGCAAGTGTGTCTGCTCTGTCATTTCCAGGTATGTCTGAGTGTCCGGGGACCCACTGCATTACTAGGTTGATGCCACAGAATGTTATCAGATGATGGGACCCAAACAGTATATGGGTCAAATCTTGGTTTAGATGATGGTCATTTTCTATGGCTTGTAATACTGATAGTGAGTCAGTGAAAATCACAATATTCTGAGCTTTTCCAGGATGAGTGTCAAAAACTGTGCGGAGATGGTAGTGCTGTTTCAATTGCCATCATTTCTGCATCGTAATTGCTGTATTTCTCTCTACAGGCTGCAGAGATCTCATTGGAACTTCCATCTGGGTACTGTATTAGTATTCCATATCCGGCTTTGGTTGTGCCTTTGAATGCTGAGCCGTCCGTATAGACGTGTATCCAGTCATCTGAATAGCTGTCGATTGTTTGACGTGATGCAAGCATCAGCGTCACTGGGTCTGAAGCCACTGCGGTAGACATCTTTGATCATGGTTCTCCATTCAACCCTTTGCTCGGAAACTCTTAAAAAAGCTACATCACCCTGATTTTTCCCCGTCACCCATTTGTTTAAGTTCTCCAAGTAGATTGCTCTGGGTCTACCTCAGCCTCATTTGCCTTCAATTTTGCCAGTGAAAGCTAGTTGTTAAATACCTTTTCTATTTAGGTATCCCAGAAACTGCAATTGTCTTACTGATTGTTTTATCAAGTGAGTGTCCAATGTGGGCTTCTCCAAGTACTTCTTCATTTTATTTCTTTTCTTTCCAAGATATTCTTGGCAGTCTTAAGAAAACACACTTCTGTTGCTTCTATTTTATTTTCACTGTCATTAGTGATTGTCCAGCATTAACAGCCATATATATAGAAAGGTTGACCATACATAAAATTTCAGAACTTTCATTTTGGTAGTCATTGAGATGTTTCTATTTTCAGTATAGGGCTCATTTTATTGAAACTAGTCTTAGCCATGGCAATTCATAAAGTCATTCACTATGCTTCAAATTACGAATAAAACAAAAGGGGAGATTACTGCTCCAGCAAACAGTTCATTCTTTTTATTTATTAATTGAAGAAAAGAACTTATCATGTCATAATTTCAATCGAGCAGTCACCCTCTTTGCTTAAACTTTCTCTCTCCCCTCTTTTTCTGCCTGCCTCTCTCTCTCTCTCTCCTCTGTGTACTGCTCGCCTTCTCTTTCTCTTTGTTTGTCTCTGTCTTTCTTTCTCCCTACCTATTTCCCACCCTATCTTTCTCTCGTTCCCTCCCGTCAACTGGGGCATGTGACATTTTGCTAGTACTTCCCCCTGTTCTCTCTCTCTCTCCCTCTCACACACACACACACACACACATACACACACTACCGGGTTTGGGCGCTGATACTTTCCGAATTCACAAAAGATTTCCCCTACCGGGTCTGTATAGGCTACTTCGTCTATTTTGTACTTCGACGACTTCATGACTTTGTTACCGGTTACCGGGTCTTAATACACTTCGCAAAAACAAACGTGTAGACTAGATCTGTTGTCGCTTTTCAGTAGTTCCCACCCCACAATTGTTATTCGCCGGTTTTAGTCTCAAGAGAGGGGGGTTTCAGGGGGGCTTGCCCCCCTGTCCTAATAAAAATGTGGTGGGGGTTTTGATGCTTTGCAGTTGTTAGGTTTAATATCTTAGCTTGCATCAAACGTATAGATCTCGATGTAGGTCAGGCTCAATATATAAAGGGGGTGGGAACTACCGAAAAAACACTGATCTGTTTTTGGTTTCAGGAGGTGACCGCGTCTGACGATTGGCCCCATCCAGCCGTAGTGGGCACTCCCTATAACCGCTGATTAATTTGCGCACATTGGACCAATCGGAGGGTTTCATGGGGGAAAGTGGCTATTCTCACCCGCCCGGAAGTTCTCGCAAGATCAACTCCTCCCCTCTTCTCTCTCTTTCTCTGTCTCTTTCTGAATACTGTCTATCGGTGTGGACGATCAAATTGACCAAAACAAAGTTAAAAAAGGATGTTAAAACACAAAAGTAAATTAATTTGGTTGTCTACAAAGATGCTACGGCTAATTAACTTTTCGAATCGAGCTGAACTACGCGGGTCGCCATTTTGTTTTGCCCGGAAATTCTCGCACTACTCCTCTCTCTCTTTCTCTCTCTCTCTCCACTGCCCACAGACAAAATTGTACGCTTTTAGTAGGCTACAGTTGTAATGGAACGTTTGTTCACGGCACAGAATTCTACAATTTTTCTGTTATCACAGTGTAGAATTCTGTGGTTTAGGGTGAACGCAAAATTTGGTGAACGCACACCGGGTGAGAATAGCCACAAGACTCGCCTGCACTATTCTCACTCCGGGTGAGAATAGAGGTGGCCTTCATGGGGGGCAGGATTTAGTATGGACCATGGATCGGCGATTTTGTAGTTTCGTTCGTTAAAGTCAAGAAGTAGGGGCGGGGGGGTTTCAGGGTGGAGGTGGGGGGGGGGGTTCCCCCTGAATTTTATCCTAAGAAAGTAGCAATGCCAATCGCCCGCTGCGCCTTGTGCCGGAAATCGGCCTCCGTGCGAGGGGTATTTTTTGGGCTGCTCGGAATCAAAAGTGACTCTCTTCTAAGTTTAGTTACGGGAAAACTCCTGAACGAAAATAAATGAAACTCGGCAACCAACCAGAGGAAAGGTTAAACTAACGACATGCCAGCGTACAATCCCGAACGATTACTAGAACCGGAGATATTGCCGTGTTTGTGCGAATTTCCTCTGCGGTTCGAAAACTAAGCGGAGCTGCGGGTTGATCGTCGACCACACAAGCGCCCCACATGTCTTCTTTATTGCTGTAAAATTTCAGATCTCTGCGTTTAGTAGATTTTCCGTACCAACTTAAAATTACCACCCATCCATTGATAAAACCCTAGATCTAGAAACTTGATAGCGCATTCCAAACGCGAGGTGCCGGCACGCAAGAGGCGCGTGATCGCTAGGCGGCATGTGATTGGCTGCCTATAACCAAATGGGTCACCGATGACTACATCGCGGGTTTTCCCGATAGCGCTTTACTGAGTTTTAGAAGGGGTGATCGCGTCGCGGTAAAAACGATGTCACGCAATTCAACAAATTTCACGCAAATATCAGTCTTTATAAGATCTAAAGTAATGAAGACATCGAAAAAGTGATAGCAGAATTAGATTCGGCACTAAAAATCACATGGAGATGCCAAGTTTCATTCATATATATGCTCCAATTCATTACTGACTTATGAACAGTTTTTCCTCAAAATACATCAAAACATGTCCCACATTTTGGCGATTTTTTCCTATATGAAGGTCCTCCAACATTTTGCAAACAAAAATCCCAATAACTTTTTTATTTATCAATGGATTTTTAATTTTTTAAAACTATAGTTCTTAGAATTTACTCTATTTTCATTTAAGTCCATTTTTAAGCAATTTGGATGAAAATTTAATTTTTCATTGTCATTGCTAAAGAAAGTGGCTATTCTCACCCGCCCGGAAGTTCTCGCAAGATCAACTCCTCCCCTCTTCTCTCTCTCTCTGTCTCTTTCTGAATACTGTCTATCGGTGTGGACGATCAAATTGACCAAAGAAAGTGGCTATTCTCACCCGCCCGGAAGTTCTCGCAAGATCAACTCCTCCCCTCTTCTCTCTCTCTCCGTCTCTTTCTGAATACTGTCTATCAGTGTGGACGATCAAATTGACGAAAACAAAGTTAAAAAATGATGTTAAAACACAAAAGTAAATTAATTTGGTTGTCTACAAAGATGCTACGGCTATTTAACTTTTCGAATCGAGCTGAACTACGCGGGTCGCCATTTTGTTTTGCCCGGAAATTCTCGCACTACTCCTCTCTCTCTTTCTCTCTCTCTCTCCACTGCCCACAGACAAAATTGTACGCTTTTAGTAGGCTACAGTTGTAATGGAACGTTTGTTCACGGCACAGAATTCTACAATTTTTCTGTTATCACAGTGTAGAATTCTGTGGTTTAGGGTGAACGCAAAATTTGGTGAACGCGCACCGGGTGAGAATAGCCACAAGACTCGCCTGCACTATTCTCACAGAATAGAGGTGGCCTTAAATCCTAATTTGATGTTTTGCAGTTAGGTTGCATCCCTGCTCTTTGAGTAGCCTAATTCAAACAATATTTTTGATCTTCAAGACTTCTGGATTTCTTCTCTGGATGTAAACAAATGGATCGTGAACTTTAACGAACGGAACTACAAGATCACCCATGGATCAATGGCGAGATCTGCAACATAGAAATCTAGATCTAGAATCTAGATCTACTACTGAACTCTGCTGGAACTACACTACTGAACCAAACCCGGTGCCCAAGCAAGTTGCGCTCTGAGTCCAAGGCAAAGACCATGATGTAACTCACCATTTTAGTAGTTCAGAAATGACAGCCTCAATTCTTGGCCAGTTCAAGTGAGGTTTCTCACTTTGAATTGTAGGCTACACACTTTGAAAGAGATCGGTACCAATCAGATAAACCGCACTGCAATGACTTGCAAGCATACACAAAGCTGTATATTCAATTCAGCAGTCCCGTTAGATTACCATTCCTAAACTCAACAGAGGTTGCACGTAGCTCCAACTTAATAGGTATTAAAAACAGCTACCAACATTGTCATTTATACAAAACAAAACTAAACGTTTTTCCCCAAACAACAACATTCAGCCTTTTCTGCTATGAAAACATAAAATTTATTTTTGTTAGCATTTGGATTGCTCTAATTTCGTCAATGGTGACTGATAATTTTGTTATTCATAAAACTTTTAAGTGACAATGCAAACCAATCTTGCCAAGCCTGCGGTTATAAGGAACTTCCGCGTCACCCATACAAACAAAATCTAACCCTTCCCCTTCCACCCACTTGGCCTATAATTCAGTGTGTCGGTCGGGCTAGTTAATCATACAGACAGAGCTTGGTGCTTGGACTGGGTCATTACTCATCCCCCCACACAAGCAGGACTGCGAAACTGTAAGTATGATAAAGGTCCTAACTCTAATCGTATGTCGTGTAGGTTTTATGGCTAATTTAATATCTCATGGAATCAAGCCAGGATTGTACGTGTGTAGACTACATAAATATAAAGGGAACTGTTGTTAGTCTTTTGATTCAAATTAAAAATAATAATGAATGGGCCCTTGAGTACAAAAGTTTCTATCTTGTTCATTGTTGTTGTTGTAAAATACGGAAGTTTTTGTTTTTTTTAATTTTGGAACGTGGATGATCTGATGAGACAAACATTTATTAATTTATAATTTATTGTGCCCAAGTAAAAATATTGTGGGGGTTTTTTTCTTGCATGACAACGGAAATGTTACAATGAAAATCAACTCGACTTGTCTGACGAAGGCTAATGTTTCTGTTAGTGTTAGGCTAGTGTTTGATTAGTCCATGATAACAGTAGCATGATAAGAGAATAAAAGCAATATTAGTTTCCACTAATTTCTAGGTGAAGTCCATAGTAGCAACAAATAAAACACAACAAAAAAGATGAGGTCAGGAGGTCAGCTCCACAATGGTTTAGTGAACGTTAGAAAGCTGTTGAAAGACTCCTTGGTATTCTTACCTCCCCTCCCGTTTCACATTTCGACAACTACAATGTGTCTATTTTCTTACTAGATATCTAGATCTAGATATAGGCTAATATATGCGCTGAACACAAATTTTGACTTCATTTCCGTCACAAATTAATAGACTCCAGATCTAGTTTTAAAAATATTTGATAGGGTTTATTATGGACTTTATCATTCAAACTTTTAAGCCTAATTTCGTAGTAATTTCCATGCTTTGGACCAATCTGAAGTAAGAAAAAAATCGGGGGGAGGGGGGATATTTACTTTGCTGTTGTTTTTTATGCCAGGCCTACTCCTTTTCACTTGTTAATTGTATGATTTTGCTTTTCAGCTCAGCGAGTGTGTGAGACAGGGAGATATTTCACTGGAACTACTCCTCCCACTTTTAGTATTCGAGATTAAACATTATAACAATACCACATCAGTGACTTCTGTCGGTGGATCGTAGTGTAGACACCCTGAAATATGGGTCGAAAAATTTCTGAAATTGAGGTCCTTGATGCTGAAAAGAGGCGAGCACCAAGCAAACACTATGTGAGTATGATATTTAAGGACAAGCGAGCTAACCCAAAGTGGGCATTGCCCTACCTATTGGAGAAGTTTGGTTTCATTGGTGTGTGTATTATATTTGTCAGGTTTTATAGAGAAAACTCTCTTTGTAAGTATCTTTTATTCTTAAGGAAACTGAACAAGGGTCCAAAAACTTTACCGTTCCTTCGATTTTCTCAAAACAGCATTTTTTGGGATAGAAGCCCCCTTGTGCTTAAAAGCGACTATTTACTGTATTATTATTATAAATGTGTTCTTAAAGCACTTGTTGCTTACAATGATGTCACACCCCTTTCTACTTCTTTCACAACTCTTGACCATTATTATTTACTATAAAATTACTCTTGACGTCACTAATAATATCACCTCTTTCCCCTGCTATGGCATAGGGGGACTTAAGACCGCAAGTTAAGATGTAGATTCTATAGCAGCCCATTTGCAAAGGTTTGTCCAGTGAGTCGAGCGTGTTTGTTTCTCTTTTTTTTTTCCAGGTGTATGTCATTCTTGTGACCTGGGCAGATGGGTCGTCGCTGACAGTGTTTCGACGCTACAGCCGTTTCTTCGACCTTCAGGTAGAGTTTATTTTTTAGATTTAACACTTTTCCATCAGTTGGGTCTGAATAGGTTTTTCCCGATCTGTCAATTGGATTTTTTAAAGTGATACGTTGTTTTGCCTTTTACATGCGCCGACTGATGAATACACAAACTTTTAGAAGGCGCAATAATGCTCCGATTGATGGAAAAGTGTTAAAGCTTCTTCAGTACGTAAGTAAAGTCGAAATTGTCCAAGACGGCCACCAATTGTTGATGATAAAAGTGGTTGTCTTAGACAGATGGGTATCTAGGACAGTGTCATTATACTGTGAAATGGAGGAATCAGGTAGGTGCTAATCAAATTTTGATCATATATATATATGAAGTTATACCTGCATAATCTTTTCAGTACACTCCACAAAGAAATGTGTGTTTTTAAATGGACATAAAAGGAGTTCAGCCTTAAAAGTTAAAATTACCCAACTGGCAGGAAATGACAGTTTCTTTTTATTTTCTTATTTTGATTCACCATGATACCCCGTTTGAAGAAAAAACATCGGGGGGGGGGGGGGGGGGGCGGTCATTTGTACAACGGATTGTCTTTGACAGGTGGTCATTAGGGCAGGTTCGACTGTATTTACATTTCTTCTGGGTATACAATTTGGAGAGTACATCTCTGTAAAAAAGTATTTTATAAGCTTTTCATGTGATCAGAAAAATACTTGTAAAAGTAAAGAATAATGTGCCAACATCCGCCTTGTCTTCATTCGCGATCTTGATGATCACAGTGCTTTGTTTCCAGGTCCTGTGTGGCATAACTTTAACTTCAACTCCTCAGTGACCACCAGATCCGGTCAATCTCTTCTAAAGAAGTTGGGGAAGAAGGGGTTAAGGGTACTATACTTGTGGCGTCGATGGCCTAGTGGTTAGGCTAGCGGACTCGTAGTCGCGAGGTTGCAAGTTCGGGGGTTTGAGCTGTGGGCCCAACGTTGTGTCCTTGGAAAAGGCACTTTACACGAATTTTCCCCACTTCACCCAGGTTGGAATGGGTACCCAGCTATAGACAGCGAAAGATCTTGTCAGTATGTTAGTGTTTTAGCGCCTTTAAATGGCCACTTGCACTGTATACTTCCCAGGAAGTTGAGGTTGTTTCAGAATGCTCTCAGGTCTGCTGGGATAATAGAGTAGATTGTGAAGTGCTTAGAGCTTGCTGTTGAGTGGGGATTTGCACTATACAAATGCTATCTATAATTAATAATAATCTATATATGTCTGCCAAAACTTATGTTCATGTGTGCTTGCCTGTTTATAATTTTGTGTTTTCTGTCACTTCCAGACAAAACTCCTCGACTTGTTTCCAGTTGAAGGAGGAATCATTGACCCACAGAAACGAGTTATTCCATTCCTCCCAGGTATGAGAGCTGCAAGATTTATGAAAGACTAAATAAAACTTTATACCTTGAGCCTTGGCATTAATAAGGCTCGTCTTGTACATGAAATGTTTTCTTCATAAACTATGTTGTCTTAACAATTGTAGTGTCTGATAACGTTTGTCTCGAAGACAAAATAATGTATAGTAAAAAATAGTAACTTTACCATTATAATTTTTATTATTCGTAAGATAGAAAGAAACAATATTTTTCTGCTTGATTGGAATGTGATATATATTTGTTTGTTTGTGTTGGGTTGTGTGGCCTGGAGCTAAGTGTTTGGTCAATATGAGTGTCAATGAAATAGTTTACTGAAATAGTACCTTGATTGAGATGAAATTTTTATTGTTCCCTGAAAAGAATGTGAACTCGTCTTTTATTTCTGTTCATTTTTCATTGACATAGCATTTTTTTTTTTTGGTGGCATTTATTGTTGTTCTAAAATGGTCAATGGTATTGTGACAAACCATGTTTGAAACACCCTCAGTTTAGAAGTGCATTCCATAAATATATGAAGACTACAGGGGAAGAACGACTGAAGTCACAAACTGAAAATTGTGAGGGTGACAATTTTAAAAGCTTGTGGACCCATAACTTCATATTTGTTTGACTGGTGGTTTATTGTTAAGTGTTATTGAATGGAAAATCTAACAACAATAATCAACTAACAGTTGAACAGAAATACAGTTATGAGTCAACAAGTGTTCAAAATTGTCACCCTCACGATTTTCAGTTTGTGACTACAGTTGTTTTTCCCCTGTAGTCATCATATTGGTTTAATCAAAGGAAATGTGTGTGACCACTGTGGGGAACATGTACGCTGGAGCACTTACACTTGGGGAACATGGCTACCACCTAGTCCTTGAGCTGTGTATAAATATAGAGAAAATATCTCTGTGACAGTGTCATAGTTTGACCTGAGCACACTCCTGATTATTTTAGCGTATCAGAACATTTTCTAAATATAACTGTGGCCTCAGAAGTGAATAGAGTTTTTTTGTGGCTGGTCTTGGTGTTGAAGCATTATAATGACACTAAAACACATTTTCACCTGTGCATATACCAGTATAGCATGGAAAAGAGTTTGACTGTATTGGACTGACACAGTTACAAATTAACTCTTTGCTGTCATATTTTGGGGAAAATCCAAAGAAACTGGGTGGTAAACATCGTCAGTCAGCGAGATGAGGCGGTAAAGTGTTAAAGGGTGGGAGAGCATTTGTAAAAAGAAAAGAAATCCAAGACACATTTTATTTTCAGTGCATAAACTAATCCCATACAATTCCCTGCTGGTTTGCTGCTATATTTTTTTTAATGCAAAATTTTCCAAAGTATTATAAAAGATAACATTATGTTTATCACTTTATTTCAGGAAAAATATTTTTTGGGAGAAGCCATGTCAAGGATGTTGCTATGAAAAGGATGAAGGACATCAGTGAATACTGCAAGGTATGACTTTAGGGGTTTTTTTATGTTTAAAAGAATGTAATTTGTTATAGATCATTAAAAAGTGGCTCTTACATTATATTATATTTATATAGATCTAATGATATGACCACAGAATGTGTAGAAATAAAAGATGATTTATACACTTGATGCAATACTCTTACATTTAAACGAGACATAATATCCTGAGAAGAGTATGAATAGGAAAGCGGAGAATGTTACAAAAAAATGAGTGTTATGTATGTGTGTAACGACGTAAAATATGTTCTTTGTTTCTTGGTGTGTACTTCCTAAATAGTCAAAATAAAGCAACACTCGTCAAAAATTAAACTTAACTTGAGGATTTTCCATTGTTCTCTGTCCTTTCTGTTTTTGGTTTTTTTATAGTAGAGGGTTTAACGGCGCTCGCAACTCATAAGGTCATATGAGCGCCAAGGGGTGGGTGTCAACAGAGAAATCTTTACAGGGAATCAGACTTACTTTGCTCACCTTTCTAGCTTCAACAGCACAAGGTCTGCTTTGACTATCAAGGCACCCCAAAAATAGCAGGTCACAAGAGTGTGACAAACATACAAAAGAAGTAGAGGAAAATGACAATAGTAAGGATTAGAAAGAAGAAGCAGCAGTTCCCTGTTGTAGATCAGGCACAGTTGTGAGCGTGACAGAATCAGCCCATTTACAATTCTACTGTGCTTGAACGAGAAATGTCCCCCCTTTGGGAATGGCCTAAAGACACTACAGTCAGTGGCACTGCCCCAGGGGGGAGTCCTTTCTGTTCACATTGTTTCCTTCAGATGTCCACATTTCATGTTTCCTCAGAGTCTGATCAAACTACCGTCCCATATTTCGGAATGTGAAGATGTTTTGGAGTTCTTCGAAGTAGAGCCTGAGGATTTAGACCCTCCATCTGCTAACCCGGAGGATGGGTAAGTTTGGTTTTGTTTTTTATTCAGTTTTTGTGTATATCGCCCCCTATTTATTGCAGAAAACAAAATTCAAATGAATAGTCTATAAGTTATCTTTGTTTGCTTACTCTAGGGGTCCATAGCATGCAGGAACCTGCTGTCCGCATTGTTTCAGAGCGGATCTGTTCTGAGACCACATACCTCTAGCTTGAGCAGCCACTCAGTCCTTTCACCAAATATTCCTGTGTACCTCAGACTCTACTTGGGGAAAAAGTGGTTGATGAGTTGTGTCACTAGTGCTCTGAATCTGTCACACTATGTATCAAACATTTGTTACACCTCCTTCCAGCTTTCTTTGCTAAAAATATACCGTAACATGCCTTTTTGCTTCTCAAAACATGTGTAAGCTTTCCAGCTTTCTTTGATAAAGTTGTATCTTCTGTAAATTTCCCTCTGGGATAATAAAGTATTATCTTATCTTATCTTATCTTATCTTGTTTTGTTTCTCACGATTGCCAGCATATAATGTCTCTGTGATGGGTGTTTAGTTTTGTGACCACTGTCCAATGTTTAGTGGGACAGATCATCAGAGGATGGTCCTTCTCCTGATGCTACTACACTGCTAACTTCTTCACTTCTAATTTGATCAGGCCAACATTTTGTCAATATGCATCAACTCTCTTCAACTCCGGCAAGCTCACATCTCTCAAATGTCATCACTGCACAAACAATTGTGTTTTAGTTTCATCAAACTTGTGGTTCAAAGGTTTTCCTTCTGTCTATCTTGGTCTTTTAACTACAGCTGAACCTGTTCTAACAGCTACCTGTCCAAGACAATCGCCTCTACAAACATCCTCTTCCCCCTTGCGTCCTTTTGACATTATTATGACACTATGAGTCATCCAAGACGTCTACCGATCTAACACAGTCACTTGCTGGGACATTTCAGTAACCCACTTTCAGTAATTTTTAAGGACCCCCGGTCAAGTGTTAAGTTCCTGCGTGCTGTCGGCATCACTGACCATTTATGAAGCCACAGCGCCAGAAGAGAGAGAGAGAGAGAGAGAGAACACAATCACTTTACTTTTCTCCTTGACTGTGGGTGGTCAACCTAGACAAATTTGGCTGTTCTTTTCAGTTTGAACTGTGGGTGTCTTTCTCATATCCATGTTTCCTGTGGCACAACAAGTGTATTGGTATTTCTGTATTCTCTTCTTTCAAATTTGTAGTGGAATAATAATAATAATAATAATAAAGATCATTTCTATAGCGCCCACTCCCATGTAAACACAGCTCTAGGCACTTTACATAAATGCATGTACGAACAATATTCACGCTCGCGGCACACACACGCACATACACACTCATACACACTCATACACACACACAAACACACTCACACACACTCACGCACACATAACTCGCACACATGTGCACACTCATGTACGCTAAACACACACACACGCGCGCGCGCGCACACATAACTCGCACACATGTGCACACACATGTACGCTAAACACACACACGCGCGCGCGCGCACACACACACATCAACTTGCTTATCACACGCACACGCTTACACAAATGTAACAGATAAAGAGTGGGCTGACAGGATATGTACACACAGACAGGAGAGTATTGGAGACCTGATCGTATGTTTGTAGTGTTCAGGATTCCTCTTCTTCTTCTTGTTCTAGCCCGTGGTTTCAGCAACCATGGGGGCACCACTGCATCTGACAACCAGCTCTCGCCTTTTGTCTTTTAGGATTACAGCTCTTTAAATTAGTAGCGTATAATAATTGTTCCATGTTGTGTGTGTGTGTGCGTGTGCATACGCACCTTCAGCGCTCCTGTCGAGGTTCTTTTTGCTCAAGAGAGATGTTTCTGCTCCTGCTCAAAGTTCAACTCACACTTTGCTCATTCGTCTAAGTCTAATCTAGAGTTGCTCTGTGGGCTTTGTGAAACTCTTTTTGTTGTTCAACCTCTGTGAAAACTCATCGCAGCCTTGATGTGGCAGACTTCAGGGCTTATTCTGTGGCGTCGGTGGCCTAGTGGTTAGGCTCTCGGACTCGCAACCATAAGGTCGAGGGTTCGAATCCCGTCGAGGGCCCGACGTTGTGTCCTTGGGAAAGGCACTTTACACAAATTTTCCTCACTTCACCCAGGTGGGAATGGGTACTCGGCTATAGACAGCGAAAGATCTTGTCAGTTTGTTGGTGTTTGAGCGCTTAATCGGCTGCTTGCACTGTATGCTTCCCGGGAAGCTGAGAATGTTTCGGAGTGTTCTATGGTCTGCTGGGGTAATAATATAGTGTAAAGCGCATAGAGCCTGCTGCTGAGCGGGGATATGCGCTATACAAATGCTATTTATTATTATTATTATTATTATTATTATTATTATTCTAAAGTAATCGGAGAAGCTGTTGTTGTTTCCTTTATGTCATGTTTGGTCCCAAAAATAGATGCATGCTGTGAAAATATAAAAAGATAACGGTGCTAGGCAGGAATCCCATAAAATTTTATAAGCTTTTGGGGGTGGTTGGAGGACGCCACTAGTACTAGTAGGAGGTCCCTCTTCTTTACTTTCCCTCTGTTGTTTCTCTCTGTCTTACCTTTTCCCAGCCCTAAATTACCATTATTATTGTGTCGATATGCTTCTCTTTATTCAAACAAGCAGACATTATTCGCTCTTGTAGCAAGTGTCATCGAGGACAGAAAACTCACCTTGCTTGAAAGCCAACATAGCCCAACTTTCCATCAGTCAGTTACTGAGATATGCGGAGAGTGTTTCATATCTTGTAAGCCTTTCTCAGGTTCATAAAGCACTTTTTTTTTTCTTTCTGTGGTTTTAGATGCCATTTTATTCTTACTGTTCCTGCTTCTTTCATTTAAAATGACACTACAAGACTCCCAAAAACTTCTGTTTATTATATATGTAACGCATTGTCCTTGAGTGTTTCGATTGCTCCCGATATCTTCAACTGTTTTCTTTTTGTATTTAGTTTTGTTTTTGTTTTTGACGCCATTGCTGGAATATCATATATATAGCAATCTCTTCTCCAGTTTGAATAATAATGTGTATGGGAAATGTTCCTTTAAATTTTCTTGTCAAATTCAATGAATGATTTCCCATGTTTGTGTGTAAATTTCCCGACTGCTGAGATCTTGTACTACTCAGCCTAAATAGTTTGCTTTTATGGTGTAAGAAGAAAACTTGCTGATATAAGCAGCATATTTTAACCTTTTTGTTCTTCCTTGTTGCTTCTCGCTTCTTCAGGAAGAGAAAATTGTCCCTTAGTTTATCCCTTAATAGCCTCAGGTAAGCCTTGTAGCGTCGATTCCCTCTACATTGTGCATTTGAGCTTTTTTCATTACACTTAGCTCCTCTTTCTAAATGTCCATTTTTTGTGGTTCTGTATGGTTGCATTTCCATTTATCAAGTTTTCTCTTTCTTTGGTACCGGGTAGCATATTTTATCCGTATTTATTATTGTAGAGCTATATATATTTATTATGGCTTTTGGTTTTTCCTAGTGTTGAAGATTTTTACTTTGCAAGTTGTGTTAGATAATTAGATGAGTCAAAATTTTCCAACTCTTTTGGAATTTATAAAAGAACACTACCTCGTTGAAGCTGCGTCTATTAATTATAACATTTATAGAGGTGTGAAGACCCATCCTTACTTTGTGGGTAGTTGGAATGTGCCTGTTGTTTGACCTTTGACCTACTTTTTTTCTTTCCATCTGTTGTTTCTGTGTGAATGCCTTGCATTTTACCCGCACTAAATATTTCTTACGGTGTTGATGTGTTTCTTTCTACTCAAACAAACAAACGATAATTTTGTTTTAAAGTCTGCCCGTGCTTTCAAAAGCTTGTTGTAGTATTTCTGTTATCTTATGATTTAAGAGAGAAGCTTTTTACTTTGAGACGTGGGTGGTTTGCGGGTGCTCTGGTGTGGTTTGCTCCTTCTTTCTTATCAAACGTCTATCGTCCTGATCTCTCCTCCTTCTGTTTTATGTTTGTTACTCTCTTGCAACACTTCTAATCTTGGGCACTTATATGACCTTATTGTGTTGCAAGTGCCATAAAACTCTTACTAAAATTTACTTTGAGAGACCGTAGCCTGACTGAGACGTAGAGTCCAATAGCTTGTTGATTAGTTGTGGAATACTAACACTAATACAGTCGGACTGGCTCTAACTAAAAGCCACATGTGTGAGTGAGACAGTAGTCACCTGTACAAAAGGATATGGGGATTGTCTCTTATTTTTCTTTCTCTTGTCTCTTTTTTTTCTTTCTCGATTAATTTTTAAAAATATAATAACTCTGTGTAAGACGTCGACCTGTGTAAGACAACCACTCTTTACCTCTCTAAGACAACCACTCTTTACCTCTGTAAGACAACCACTCTTTACCTCTGTAAGACAACCACTCTTTACCTCTCTAAGACAACCACTCTTTACCTCTCTAAGACAACCACTCTTTACCTCTGTAAGACAACCACTCTTTACCTCTGTAAGACAACCACTCTTTACCTCTCTAAGACAACCAATCTTTACCTCGACAAAGGTTGATCATCTTAGACAATTTGACTATACTTGATCCATCAATATCTTTACAATGGCCAGTACATCTGCGGAGTAGAATATTAGAATAAGAGAAAAAGAAATAAGAATTTAGGTGACTTGTGACTTCTGCTGTAGCCTATAAACCAGTTATGTTGCGTAATTAATTAATTAATTATTAGCTGGTTCGTCAATATCTGGCGATGACCAATGCATCCGCAGAGGAGGATATTTTTCCAGTGAAGTAAAAAAAAAAAAAGAATTGAAGAATCAAAGGTTACGATGACTTGTTGCTTGTGCTGTGGCCAATGAGACCAATTGTGTTGTGTAGAAGAATGCGTTTAACCCTATCCGTACGTCCTAGGGTCATTTGTACCCCGGAGGTTGTATTCTTCACATTTTAGAATGCTTCTAGTAAGAAGATCTCTTTGAAACTTTCAGTATTTCTCAAAAATTCATTTTAACAGACTGCTATGCAAAGCGTATTGATCGGATTAACGAGTAAATTTCCTCTTTGGAAAGTGGTGGCACAGAGTTCCCCACGTCGTATGGATACGATAGTAAAACACGACGTACGGATAGGGTTAACAATGTTTAGGCGAGTATAAGTCTAGGAAACTTTGGCCTGTCCCTATTTGCTAGAGAATATTTCCTAGAAAGGCTACTGACGTATTGCATCTGACCCAGTTTTAAAAATATATATGAAGAACAATATTGTATATGTCTGGTTGGGTTTGGGGTTTGTTTGTTGTTGGGTTTTTTTGTTTCTATCTGGTAAATAATGGAAACTTTATCGTTGAACAGTTTATTTTATTGATTCAAATGAATTAATAACTATTTGTATAGAATTAAACTAAATTATGGCATGATCACAGATGATTTTCAGGCAAATTCGCTTTTTTCCCCTGTAATCACCTAACCCCAACATGGATACGGTAGTAAAACAAGACGTACGGATAGGGTTAATTGGTGGCACAGAGTTCCCCATGTCGTATGGATACGATAGTAAAACACGACGTACGGATAGGGTTAAGTGGTGGCACAGAGTTCCCCATGTCGTATGGATACGATAGTAAAACACGACGTACGGATAGGGTTAAGTGGTAGCACAGAGTTCCCCACGTCGTATGGATACGATAGTAAAACACGACGTACAGATAGGGTCAAGATAAAACTGCCAAGTGGCGATGTCAGCGGACGTCAATAGGGCGGGTGTGCGTTCATGACTGTAATAAGTCGATGTCTTTGTTGTGGTGGTGGATATAGTGAAGTGACTGTTGACCTCACATACTGTAACATGTGTGAGTGTGTTGACCTCACATACTGTAACATGTGTGAGTGTGTTGACCTCAGCTACTACAACACGTGTCCGTGTGTGTATGTGTGTGCGTGTGAGTGTGTTGACCTCACCTACTATAACTATAACATGTGTCTGTGTCCGTGTGTGTGTGTGTGTGTGTGTGTGTGTGTGTGTGTGTGTGTGTGTGTGTGTGTGTGTGTATGCGTTGACCGCACCTACAATAACATGTGTGTGTGTGTGTGTGTATGTGTGGTTGGGGGGAGGGGTTGTGTTCGTGTGTGTGTGTGTGTGTGTGTGGTTGGGGGGAGGGGTTGTGTTCGTGCCCCGCTTATCTTAGTTAACTCGTTCACACGCGTCAAGCAGGTCGAGTGATGAGCAGGGCTGGGCAATGACTCGCTTCAGCAAAGTCCAGATAATACATTAGTGCACCTCTTCAGCAAATAGTATGCTATGAACCGCTTCGGCAAATGGGTTAGAACCACTTCGACCAACGGGTTAGCATCACTTCAACAAATGGGTGCACCCCATAGCGTACTTTACTGTGCACCCACTTCGGCGTACGGGTCAGGAAAAGAGAGTTAAGAGTCTGAATTCGGATGATGTTTCATTAAGAATTATCCGGTTATCCTTATATATTATCCGGATTTTGCCTACCTCTAGTGGTGAGGCCAATGACATACTTTATTACACACTCACGATTTGTGCTGGTTTATCAAGTAACGTTTTTTACAACGTCATGAAAGTCAATGAGTGCAGAGTTTGTTTTTGTTTGTTTTTGTGGGGGGTTTTCCTCCTGCACGTTTGATTTTTTTACAAATGTTTTTGCATGCTGTTTTGAGTAGGTTGGACGTTCAGACGAGTGGCTGAACGATGGCGTTGGGAGTCCTAATTTTCCTGCTTTTCCTTTTCCTTTTCCTGTTCCTGCTTTTCCTGTTCCTGCTTTTCCTGTTCCTGCTTTTCCTGTTCCTGCTTTTCCTGTTCCTGCTTTTCCTGTTCCTGCTTTTCCTGTTCCTGCTTTTCCTGTTCCTGCTTTTCCTGTTCCTGCTTTTCCTTTTCCTTTTCCTGCTTTTCCTTTTCCTTTTCCTGCTTTTCCTGCTCCTGTTCCTGCTTTTCCTGCTTTTCCTTTTCCTGCTTTTCCTGTTCCTGCTTTTCCTTTTCCTTTTCCTGCTTTTCCTGTTCCTGCTTTTCCTGTTCCTGCTTTTCCTTTTCCTCCTTTTCCTTTTCCTCCTTTTCCTTTTCCTGCTTTTCCTTTTCCTTTTCCTTTTCCTACTTTTCCTTTTCTTCCTTTTCCTTTTCCTGCTTTTCCTTTTCCTCCTTTTCCTTTTCCTTTTCCTTTTCCTTTTCCTGCTTTTCCTTTTCCTGTTCCTGCTTTTCCTTTTCCTTTTCCTTTTCCTGCTTTTCCTTTTCCTTTTCCTTTTCCTACTTTTCCTTTTCCTCCTTTTCCTTTTCCTACTTTTCCTTTTCCTTTTCCTTTTCCTACTTTTCCTTTTCTTCCTTTTCCTTTTCCTTTTCCTGCTTTTCCTTTTCCTGCTTTTCCTTTTCCTTTTCCTTTTCCTACTTTTCCTTTTCCTTTTCTTCCTTTTCCTTTTCCTTTTCCTGCTTTTCCTGTTCCTGCTTTTCCTTTTCCTCCTTTTCCTTTTCCTCCTTTTCCTACTTTTCCTTTTCCTACTTTTCCTTTTCCTACTTTTCCTTTTCCTACCCTACATCAAACATCTATCGTCCTTATCTCTCCTCCTTCACTTTTTTGTATGCTACTCTCTTGTAACACGTCTATTACTCGGCACTTACATGACCTTATGCAGTTGCGAGAGCCGTAAAACCTCTACTAAAAAAAAAAACCTCTTACTAAAACTAAATTAAGACTACTCTAACCAAAAGCACACAAAAAAACAACCACAAAAACTGAACTTTGACAATAGCAGACAGACGTCATAACACGGATGTCGCCTCACGAATAACCAAATAAGATAAGAAAATACTTTATTATCCCAAATGGAAATTTTTCTTGGCTGTACAGAACCGTAAAAACACATGGAGGTATGCATGAAAAAATTTAAATTATATATTAACTCTCATTAAAATTCAATATGAAAAGAGAAGTAAAGCTGACAAAATGTACATTCACATCAGATGCATCATTCAACCACATGCAGGAATAAATTTAATTACAAGACCTTTGGAGTTATATTTAGATACATACTCTTTAGAGCAACACAAAATATGTGTCCGAACAGTGATCAACCATAATCACAAGCACTTTGACCTACATAAGATCAACCCGTCGTGCTTTCAGGCTGACTAAAAAATAAAGAAAGAAACAAAGACTCAATTAATCTTTTACAGCAATATTATGTATATTTTTATACATATTATTTGTCTTTATATGACAGTGAAACTCGACGTTTGTCTGATTCTTCTTCTTTAGTGCACCATTTAATCGTGCAGACTTGTAGAT